GAAAAAATTAGCCGGGCATGGTGGCGCATGGCTGTAGTCCCAGCTACTTGGGAGGCTGAGGCAGAAGGATTGCTTGAGCCCAGGAGCTGAAGGTTGCTGTGAGCTAGACTAAAGCCACGGCACTCACTCTAGCACTCGCTCTAGCCTAGGCAACAAAGCGAGACTCTGTCTCAAAAAACAAAACAAACAAACAAACAAAAACACACACAAGATGCCATTTGTTGGCCAGGCATGGTGGCTCATGCCTGTAATCCTAGCACTCTGGGAGGCCAAGGCGGGCAGATTGCTCAAGGTCAGGAGTTCAAAACCAGCCTGAGCCAGACCCCGTCTAAAAATAGAAAGAAATTAATTGACCAACTAAAAACATATATACAAAAAAATTAGCCAGGCATGGTGGCACATGCCTGTAGTCCCAGCTACTTGGGAGGCTGAGGCAGTAGGATCGCTTGAGCCCAGGAGATTGAGGTTGCTGTGAACTAGGCTGATGCCACAGCACTCACTCTAGCCTGGGCAACAAAGTGAGACTCTGTCTCAAAAAAAAAAGAAACCATTTGTTTTCCCTTTTCTGTAAACTGTAAATGTCATACACTATTCTTTCTAATGGCTGGTCATATACTGACTGGTTTCTAGGAATTCTTTACATGCAGGGAGATTAAAACCTTTGTCATATGAATTACAAATATCTTTTTCCAATCTGTCATTTGCCTTTTGATTTTAAGGCATTTTGACTTTATGGGGTTTTTATCCCTGATATTAATCCTATTAATTAATTCTGTTAATTACTCCTGGTATTAGTCCAGTTGTTTTTGCCTCCTTAATATTTCTGGAATCCCTCCACTTCTCTCCACCCCACTGCTATTTCCCTAGGCCAGCCTGCCACCATCATTCACCCAAGTGACCACATTGGATTCCAAGTGGTATCTCAGACACACCTCCACTTTTGTCCTTTCTCTATCCTATTTCACATTCTGTAACCAGAGGGATTTTTCTAAAATAAAAACATGATTATGTCACTTTCCTGCTTCATACTCTTCAGTGGCAAACTAGTACCCTAGGACAGATGTCTTCCGTAGACCCCATTGCCCCTGTGTGGTCTGGTTTCAGTTTACCTCTTCAGCTGCTTCTGTCACCAGTCCCCACCAGTCCCCTTACCAGCCAGTGTGCTCCGGCCACACCGAACTGTTTTCATGCCCTCCCTTTCTCTAAGCCCTCTTACTTCCAGACCTTTGCACAAGCTGTTCCCTCACCCAGGAACCATCTTTACTTGCTTCACTTCCACTCACCATTCATGTTTCACTTCAAACATCACTTGCAGCAGGAAACCTTCCCTGGAGAGAGTAGCTGCCTCGCCTCTGTGCTCTCCTTACACCCCATGCTGTCCTTATGTCAGCACTAATCACATTATGTTATGATTATCTGTTTACTTTTCTGTCGCTCCCATTAAGTATACTGCAAATACCATGCAAATACTAGTGCCTATCACAGGGCCTGGCATATAACAGGTGCTCAAAAAAAAAAATCTATTAAATTGACACAAGAAAGAGTGTCTGATACGTGACTACACGAACATCTTCGTCTCATTGGGGGGCGGGGCAATGAGAATGAAGAAAATATTAAGGCTTGACTCTTGTTCAAGGAAATAGACAGTTACTCCTTAATCCACCTGCCAGAGAAAGCAGTGGCCTACAACCCCTCCATTTCTGCTGTTGACCTCATTTGCCTCCACCCTGGCTTTCCCAGTGTCCAGATCCAGGGTGACAAGCAAGATACTCAACACCCCCATAGGAGAGGCTCTGACTAATCTGGGGGCAGCTTGCATGAGCAGGAGCTAGCTCCAGGAGAATTCCTGGGTGCCAAGAGTTAACCCTTTAATCATTGGACAATGGAGAGGCCCTGGGAAGGACCACTCAGTAGAAGCATTTACATTTCTAACACTGGCAGGACCTGACAAGAATTTACAAATTGATTGTCAGCTCTGCCCACTCCTCATGTTTTTTCAGGCTCCTCTTCATTCTTTTCCTCCTTTAACATGGAGTCTACATTTACACCTGGAGGTGACACAAAGATTGTGTGACCTCTTTGGCAGATGATGAAGCTGAGACCCTTGAGAGGCAACAGATTAAAAACAATTAGTGGCTTGTGAAGTCAGGTGAACCTGAGTTTGAATACTGGTTCTGCAGCAGTATACTTAGTTTAGCTACTTAACCTGTTTGAAATAGTTGCCTTACTTGTACCTTCTTCAGAGTCTGCTATGGACATGAAATGGACAAGTCTGGTGCAATGTCTGACTCATACATAGTGGAGAGTAAGTGGCAGCTGAATAGACAAGGATCAAAGTCAGTCAATTAGTAGCAGAGTTAGGACCAGAACTAGTGTCTTGATTTTGGGTCCACCTCCTGACCTCTCACTGACATGGACTACTATAATTAACAAAATTTCAGGGGCCCTAGCGCAGTGGCTCATCTCCACTAAAAATAGAAAAAAATAGCTTGGCATGGTGGCGAGTGCCTGTAGTTCTAGCTCTTCGGGAGGCTGAGGCAGGAGGATGGCTTGAGCCCAGGAATTTGAGGTTGCTGTGAGCTAGGCTAATGCTATGGCACTCTAGCCCAGGAAACAGAGTGAGATTCTATCTCAAAAAAAAAAAATTTTTTTTTTCAGGGTCCATCACCGAGGTCTCAGAAAGAGACATAAAGGAAATTTCCTTTCTTATGTTCATTCCTTTCTTTTCTGAGGCCCTGAACACCAGGTAAAGGTGGAGATAGATTAGTGACCTCTCTAGTTTCAGGCCTTGGGGTGGAATCAGTTTTAGGATCTGATTTGGAAAAGTTAGGATACAGGAAAGATTTGCCCGATCTGACTTCCAAGGAGTTATTTATTCAGTTATTGACTAATTACTAATTATAAACTTCATACTAAGAAAAGTACAAGGCCCTGGTTATAATAGTCCACTAAAAACAGTATTTTGGCCAGGCGCAGTGGCTCACGCCTGTAATCCTAGCACTATGAGAGGCCGAGATAGGGGGATCACTTGAGTCTGGGAGTTCGAAACCACTCTGGGGAATATCGAGACCCTGTCTCCACAAAAAATGGAAAAAGTAGCTGGGCATGGTGGCATGTGCCTGTAGTTAGTTCTAGCTACTAGGGAGGCTGAGACACAAGGATTGCTTGAGCCCAGGAATTGGAGGCTGCAGTGAGTGAGCTATGATGATGGCACTATATCCAGCCTGGGGGGTACAGTGAGACTCTGTCTCAAAACAAACAAACAAAAGAACCAAAACAAAACAGAAAAATGGTGTTTTACGAACTGTGGGTCCTGACTTGTTAGGGGGATATGAAATCACAACCAGAATTAGAAAAAAAAAAAAAGATAATAGAAAAATACAACATTGCCTTTTTAATAAGGATGTTAAGTATATAGAATCATAAAATTTTATTTCAGTCATATATGATTATAAATGTGTATATGCTGTGTCATGACTTAGGTGTATTACTATGGATTTGGTCAACAAAGTTTGCAAGCCCCTGCATTAGAAGGTGAGCTTCAGGAGAACAAGAGTTTTGTTTTAGAACAATGCCTGGCATTTGTAGGAGTTGAATGAATGAATGTTTAACACTATGACTGCCTTCAAAAAGATTATAGAGTCAGAATTACAGAAAAAAGTAAGTATCATAGGCTTCATGATACTAATATTAGTCTGAATCGTATGAATAATGTGAATATGCTGAAAGAGAAAAAAATCTAAAAGAACTCCAAAAACAAAGTCTTAGACTATCAGACTTTAGAGTATTTTAGTCATGTTAGGCAGTGTGAGGTGATAAGAAAAAACAAAAACAAAAACACTGACCTGGAATCTGGGAGCCAGGAAACAAAACCAGATTCTGTAACCTGTTAATTGTGTGACTTGGGACAAATCTCTTTAATAGATTCTCTAATTTGAAAAACAGCAATGTTCAAACAAGCCCTGCCTGCCACACAGGACTATTGTGAAGACCTGGGACGATGAGATTGTGCATTTTAAGGGTGTCCAGCAAACCATAATATAATACTGGAAACAAACCAAGAGATTACGAGTCGAAATGAGTATGGGTCTTTTTCGTAGTTCAATTAATTAGCAAATATTTATCAGGTTTCTAATGTTTATTGAGGGCTTTTCTTTCCAAAGCTCTTCGTTTTTAGATGCTTTTGCAATTATTCTTACTATAATGCAGAAGGTAAACTCCAGGAGAATATAGTGTTGGTCTGTCTTGTTTGGCTTCCTCTCCACTTGCGCATAGCAGGGGCTCAGCAGGTTATTTCTGAATGCAGCCAGAAAGGAAAAAAACTTAATTGCTGTCCTAAAGGCTGCCATCTTAGCCCTTCAGGAAATTAAGTTAGGGGCAAAGCGATACACAGAAAGTATCTACAAGGCAACATACAGGTCACCTGGAGCAGGTGGTGCCAAAGACAGGGCAGAGTCACACAATACTCCTTGGGTACTACGAGTTTGTCAGTTTTACTGCTAGCTGTTGTGGGCAGCACAGCAGAACAGAACTCCTTCCTTTACGTGAGAAAGGCAGCGACACAGAGCTAACAACCGACAGCCTGTCGCCGGAACAGACAGGGCAGCGAGGATTCGAATGAGGGTCTAATTCAGGAAAGGATGTGAGCTGGACTGGTAAAATAAATCTTTATGGAGCTGAAGCTTAAGTTGGATTTAGTAGGAAGCAAACACATGACAGGCCAAGGCTTAGGGAGCATATTGTAGGCAGTTTCGGAAATCGGCAGAAATCTATGCTCCTTGTGAAAAGGTGGCCAAGGTGAGCTGACCTTGAGTTAATGTGTGTAGGTGGAAAAGGTTCCAGGGAATGGCTTCATTGCTCGGCCTCCGAGCGTCCACCAGGGAGACAAGATCCTGTTAGGAGACAATACCTGCACTTGGATTTCCTCCAGTTGAGGAACAGGGGCGGGGGGTGTACGGCGAGAGCTAGGGCGAGCGGGCGGGGCCAACGCGAGGAGGCGGGACCGCGCCGGCCCTCCCTGCAGCGACTGGAGGCCGGGTGCAGGGGCGGGGCTTCCGGCGGCAGTAGCTTTAGGGCGTCGGGTGACGCTAGGCGGCCCATCGTCACGTGACACGGAAGTGACTCCGAACAGGAAGAGGACGAAAAAAATAACCGTCCGCGACGCCGAGCCGAACCAGACTTGCAGCCACCATGAACAGCAAAGGTAAGGACAGGGGGCGGATGAGGCCGTCGGGGGGAGTAGTGCTGGCCCGGAGTGAGCGGGCCCGGAGCCCGGGGTCACCAAACGCTAGGCTTGGGGGTGGGCTGATCCGCGCTCCTCGGTCGGTTGCAGGCCTGGGGCTGCGCCTGACGCCTTCATCATTCCTTAACTACTGCTGCTCACTCCCTCCCGGCCCTTTCCCCCGTAAACTCTGTGGCGCAGTTTGGAGCTGCGGGGTTTGGTTGGGGGGGCTTGTCATGATGGGCGTGTGCGGAAACAAATAGAGTGCTAGAGCAGGGATTTGGGTAGGCCAATGGAGAGCCGGAGGAGGCGGGGCCCGCGCTCCGGAACTACGGGCAGGGTCCGGAGCTTAACTAATGCGTTGCCAGAGTAGATGCGCGGGTTAGGGCCTTGGGGGTGTCATTTTTCCTTTCGCACCCCCTCGCCCTTCTCTCCGGGGCCAGAACTTCTCTCCGTTCCTGTGGTGGTACCAGTGTGTCTGTCAGGACATGATTTCCAGCTTCTCCAGAGAGGACATTCCCCCTCACCCCTCCTTCGCCCTTTCCCGGTCTCACTTCCACTATTCACTCTTCTTTATTTGGAAGTCGACCTTGAATAAGAATCTGTGAGATGAATCAGAACCGTTACCCACGACGTCTGGGCTGGCTACAGCCTGTGGAGACTACCCAGAGCAGAAGCACCCTTGATAAACCAGCAGGCCAGAACCTCAGGAACTGGTGCCCAGACTGGTCCCGAATTCCAGAGGGAACTCAGCTCAGCTAGACTTAACCCTTATATCAGTATGATAGTAGGAGCAGCTCCTTGCCTTTCCTGTCTTGTCAGAATCCAGCATCTCGTGTTATAAGGGCGCAAAGACAATGCTTATTGTTTTGGTTCCAGGAATCACGTCCTGTGGAGCAGTCTATTTGCAAACTCCCCTTCTGCTTTGTCCCACTATGTTAGCTACCCAACATGTACTGCCCTATTTTGATGGCTCTATGTAGTAGGCAACCTGCATTTTTTGTCTTCCAGGTCAATATCCAACGCAGCCAACCTACCCTGTGCAGCCTCCTGGGAATCCAGTATACCCTCAGACCTTGCATCTTCCTCAGGCTCCACCCTATACTGATGCTCCACCTGCCTACTCAGAGGTGCTTCCAGTTTGCTAGACTTGAACTAGTTGAGAATACTCTTGGAGCACATTTTTAGTCCTTAGCTAAGTCTGACTTCACATATTTACCTATTCACAAACAGAAGAGAGTGCTCACATAAATAATTTAAACACTATATAATTTAGTCATTTATGGTAGGAGTTGAGAATGCATTATTTGATTATTTTGTGTTATTTGGCATGGGCTGAGGTTAAGAAGATGAATTTGCATTCCTTGAGCCTAACAGCAGGAAGTGATCCAGGAGAATAATGAATGCCAGTAGAAAAGCAGCTTGTATATTTCAAAAAGTAGAATCAGCACAAGGAGAATTAAGAATTGACTCATTAAGGAGATCTCAAATAGGAATTTAATAAAGTAACCTTTTGCCTTCTCTTCTGATTCTTCTAGCTCTATCGTCCGAGCTTTGTGCACCCAGGGGCTGCCACAGTTCCCACCATGTCAGCTGCATTTCCTGGCGCCTCTCTGTATCTTCCTGTGGCTCAGTCTGTGGCTGTTGGGCCTTTAGGTTCCACAATTCCTATGGCTTATTATCCAGTTGGTCCCATCTATCCACCTGGTTCAACAGTGCTGGTGGAGGGAGGTTATGATGCAGGTGCCAGATTTGGAGCTGGGGCTACTGCTGGCAACATTCCTGTGAGTATGACCTTATCAGAAAAAACTCAGCCCTTGTCTATTTTAACCTTCTGAAATGACTTCATATTCATTCTCTTACCATTCCTGGAAAATAGTTGCCGGTGTTTGTGCAACCATTGACATCCAATAGTCAGGCAGAAAGCAGTTGAGGGGGAGAACTGGACCAAGTAAGTAGCATCTAGCAAATTCACTGGAGTCTGAGTTAACCAGATTCCTTTGTTTTCCTGTCTTGAGAACCCTGCTTGCTGTTTTTCCAGTTCATTTTGGTACAGTGAATGGGTCTAATGATGCTCCTTATTCATTGTATAAGCATTTACTTAATATTTGCCACCAGCATGGTGTTGTATTTGAACCCTGATGATTAAAAAGATAGAACACATAATTCCTAGTAAGTAGCTTTTAGAAAATACTAGCAGTTTTGGTTATCACTATCTTCTGCTTAGTTCTTCAGTGCATGGCATTTAGAGCCCAAATGGGCTGGGCATGGTGGCACACACCTGTAATCCTAGCACTCTGGGAGGTCAAGGTGGGAGGATTGCTTGAATTCAGGAGTTCAGGACCAGCCTGAGCAAGAGTGAGACCTGTCTCTACTAAAAATAGAAAAATTAGCCAGGTGTTGTGGTATGCACCTGTAGTCCCAGCTACTTAGGAGGATTGCTTGAGCCCAGGAGTTTGAGGTTGCTGTGAGCTAGGCTGATGCTGCAGCACTCTATCAGGGCAACAGAGTGAAACTCTGTCTCAAAAAGAAAAAAAGCGTCCAAATCATCTTTGCTAAGACTATATCTACTCAGTAATCATATGCCAGAGACAAGGTAAAATGTGTCTTTAGTAAGCCTTCGGCTTATCCAGTAGTCTATTTAAAAACTATAAGGGACCCTGTGAGATTCAGACATGGACCTGATACCCTGTCCCTGTTTTGGGAGTGTGAGTGGGAGGATTTCCTACCCTGAAAATGACTGTGGTTCTGGCCTATTCATATTTAGAGGGTATCCATAGGCTTCATCTTGGAGCTGGAACCCTTTGAATAAATAGGCTTCCTTTCCTATCTGTATCTTTGGGTTCACAGAGATATAGACCTGCTTTAGAACTCAAATTGGTGGCAGAACTAGCTCCTTAAAATGCTACTGGTTAGCACATTGCCATCTTCCTAATAGGCTTCTGCTTCCCCTTTGTCCCTTTCCCTTATATAAGCTACCCTGTGCCCATTCTACTGTGTCCCTTTCATTTCAGCCTCCACCTCCTGGATGCCCTCCCAATGCTGCTCAGCTTGCAGTCATGCAGGGAGCCAACGTTCTTGTAACTCAGAGGAAGGGGAACTTCTTCATGGGTGGCTCAGATGGTGGCTACACCATCTGGTGAGAAGCCAAGGCCACCTCCGTGCCGGGAAAGACATCACATACCTTCAGCACTTCTCACAATGTAACTGCTTTAGTCATATTAACCTGAAGTTGCAGTTTAGACACATGTTGTTGGGGTGTCTTTCTGGTGCCCAAACTTTCAGGCACTTTTCAAATTTAATAAGGAACCATGTAATGGTAGCAGTACCCCCCTAAAGCATTTTGAGGTAGGGGAGGTATCCATTCATAAAATGAATGTGGGTGAAGCAGCCCTAAGGATCTTCCTTTAATTCTCTGGAGTAATACTGTACCATACTGGTCTTCGCTTTTAGTAATAAAACATCAAATTAGGTTTGGAGGGAACTTTGATCTTCCTAAGAATTAAAGTTGCCAAATTATTCTGATTGGTCTTTAATTTCCTTTAAGTCTTTGATTTATATTACTTGTTATAAATGAAATGCATTAGTTGTCTGCCTTCTTTCCATCCTTTGCCCCACATCCCACCTCCAACCCCAGTCTTCCGTTTCCTTTGCCAATCTCCATTGAATCAATGGTGCAGGACAGAAAGCCAGTCAGACTAATTTCCTTCTCTCCTTGCACTTCTCCCCACTTGTCATCTTTTAACTAGTCTTTGCCAAGGATCCTCTGAAACCCTCTCTGTGCCCTAAGCACAGATCCCATTACTTCTGCTTTTGTATCTCCTCAGGCAAAAGGGGAGGGTGCCTTTTGGACCCTTCTCATAGGTTGTGTCTGCATACAGGAACCTAACCCAAATTTGCTTTGGTGCCAGGAAAACTGAGCTTTGTTTGAACAAAGGACATCGTGCAAACTGCACTGTAAACAGCAGTTTGTTTAACATACGAGGGGCAAGGAAGAGGATGCATTTCAAAAGCCTGATTGATGACTTTAGAGCCAAATTAAGGGGAGTTTTCAGATTAAAAATTGGTTACCATTTTTGTCAGAGTGTCTCATGCAGCCACTCCTGGCTCCCAAGAATTCCTAAACTGGGTTAATAGGGTCATATTGTGAATGCTTCACTACAAAATGACTTGAGTCCAGTGAAATCTCATTAGGGTTAAGAATATTTCAGGGATCCTTAATATTTGGATTTTTTGTTTTCTGAAATTGGATTTTATTTTATTTTATCTTATAATTTCAGTTCATCTAAATTTTGTGTTCTGTACATGTGATGTTTGACTGTACCATTGACTGTTATGGAAGTTCAGCGTTGTATGTCTCTCTCTACACTGTGGTGCACTTAACTTGTGGATTTTTTATACTAAAATGTAGAATAAAGACTATTTTGAAGATTTGAATAAAGTGATGAAGTTGCATTACACCTCACTCCACGGATTCTTTACTTAGCTTGCTTTTAGATTTCTTCTCTATATATCTTCTTTTATAGCCTGCCTAGAATTCAGCTAGGTGTTGCTGCTGTTCTCTTTTCTTTAATGAAACCTTTGAAATAAATGCAGGAGTACAAGGCTAAGATTTGACCGTTTCGTGAGTTCCATTCAAGATGTTCAACTTTTCCTTACTCTACTTCCTAAACTCTTTCAAATTCTGGGATTCAGAACCTAAACTTAGAGATAAGGGAAAGAGCTGGGTGCAGTGGTGCATGCCTGTAGTCCCAGCCTACTCTGAGGCTGAGGTGGGAGGATCTCCTGAATCCAGGAGTTTGAGACAGGACTGAGAGCAACAGTGAAACTCTGTCTCACAAAAAGACAAAAACCACCACTAACAACAACAACAACAAAAAAAAACCACCACTAACAAAAATGGAATGATTGGGCCAGGCACGGTGGCTCACTCCTAAAATCCTAGCACTCTGGGAGACCAAAGCGGGAGGATCGCTCAAGGTCAGGAGTTCCAAACCAGCCTGACCAAGAACAAGACCCCGACTCTACTATAAATAGAAATTAATTGGCCAATTAAAAAAATATATATATAAAAAATTAGCCGGGAATGGTGGCACATGCCTGTAGTCCCAGCTACTCAGGAGGCTGAGGCAGGAGGATCGCTTAGCCAGGGGTTTAGGTTCGCTGTGAGCTAGCTGATGCACGGCATCTAGCTGGAGCAACAGACTGAGACTCTGTCTCAAAAAAAAAAAAAAGAATGATTGATTCTCCTAATTTGCTTTAAAGTTTGGCTTGAGGAAAATGTTTGGTATGGCAATTTGTATACATTCAGGATGACCTTCAGTTTCACCAAAATTCTCCGTGGAGAAATACTGAAAATTCCTAGTATCTAGGCTACCAAGATCGATTCCTCGACTCTTGGATCTTACTTTGGGTGGGTTTGAGCTTCGACAAAGGAGGCAATATGTTAAGACTTCAAGGAGATCTAGTTTAATTTCAAAGTAAACAATATCTGGGCCAGGCGGTGGCTCACGCCTGTGATCCTAGCACTCTGGGAGGCCGAGGTGGGCGGATTGCTTGGGGTCAGGAGCTCGAAACCTGCCTGAGCAAGAGAGACCTCGTCTCTACTATAAATAGAAAGAAATTAATTCACCAACTAATATATATAGAAAAAATTAGCTGGGCATGGTGGCACATGCTTGTAGTCCCAGCTACTCGGGAGGCTGAGGCAGTAGGATCGCTTGAGCCCAGGATTTTGAGGTTGCTGTTAGCTAGGCTGACGCCACGACACTCACTCTAGCCCTGGCAACAGAGTGAAACTCTGTCTCAAAAAAACCCCCAAAAAACCCCCAAACAATATCTGAGGGCTGGGTGTGATGGCTCACGCCCATAATCCCAGCACTCTGGGAGGTGAGGCCGGAGGATCGCTCAAGGTCAGGAGTTCGAGACCAGCCTGAGCAAGAGTGAGATCCCGTCCCTACTAAATATAGAAATTAATTGGCCAACTAAAAATATATAGAAAAAATTAGCTGGGCATGGTGGCATATGCCTGTAGTCCCAGCTACATGGGAGGCTGAGGCAGAAGGATCACTTGAGCCCAGGAGTTGGAGGTTGCCATGAGCTAGGCTGACACCATGGCACTCTAGTCCCAGCAACAGAGTGAAACTGACTCGAAAACAAATATATGTATATCTGAGAGGTTAATGAATTATACCAAACATGGTACCTTCTAAACATCTCATTTTGAGACTATGTTAAATCCAGGAAACTTCTTGGCTTGATTCTGAGGACATTTGGGAAAGGTGGTAGGTAGATTTTCCTGGTTCCTTCTGTGTATATATGGAATGGGTTCTGGGAAGTTCTGGCCCTTGCCAGGATGAAGGCTACACCAACTCATCTCCCAGGGTATGTTTCTGATGATGCTCCTCTGGTACAAGCTTCCCTGGACCATCTTTACCTCAAATCTCTGAGATAGTTCTGGGAACTTCTGGAACTTCCCTAGGATTCTTATGGCTTGGAAGAGAACATGTGCAAAGGTGTTAAACGGGCAAAAGAAAATGAAAAAAAAAAAAGTTTAAGCAAGGATAAAGGTAGTTCTCGCACATGACAATCTGATTTTTGCATCAGTGAAAAATTTTAATGTGGATAAAAATCACATAAGTATAAGGTTGTTGGGAACTATGGAAAGGAAGGGCTCAGATTGAGGGTTGTAGCACACTTATCAGGAGGTAACATCTCCATAGTCTACCCTCCTGGCCTGGCCTTTTAATATGGCATCCAGCATCTGGGATGAACTCTGGACAGTGTCTCCACTTAGGCTATCACTAGGTGACCAGGTAGAGGACAGAGTGGAGCAGCCAGTGACCCTAACTCTCTTTTCTATCCCTTTGTGAAAAAAGTTAAGATGACTGGGCACATACTCAAATGTCCCCTGGTAGAGCCCCGCCTTGTTGGCCATTTACAAACAACAGCTCTATTATGAAGGCCTGTTTAAAGACATCATAAGCAGCTTTTTTCCATGTCCCTGGTCCCTGGAGTCAGTGATGCTGGCATTTGGGACTGTGTCCTGGAAGGAGTGTGGCATTGCCTACATCAATCACTGTGTCTCACTGGCTTCAGAAAAAACTTTCACCTAATAAATTAAACAGTCAATGTGTTAGCAGTGGAGCCAGGAAGAAGCTCCTTTGGGCCCAGGAATCATCAGATGAAAAATTCCTCCTTCTCTCTGCCCTTGGCTGAATCATTCTCCATCTGGAGGATGGCACTGGGCTCGCCTTCTGCAGATTCATAGGTGACGTAGCTGCCTTTGTTCTTGTACAGGTAAAAGAAGATCAAGATCACAACTGAGAGCAGGGTGAGGAAGACCACGGTGATAACAACTTGGAAAGGAGAGGGAAAATGTAGAGATGTTTCAGGATGGAGGATGCCTCAGTAATTCACTAAACCATCTGAATTAAACACTTTCTTGGTCTATTCTCATAGGATCCTCCCACTTTAGTTAACTAGTGCCCACTCCCATCCAAATCCATGTCACCCCACCAAGCCCAATGTCACGGTACAGAATAGCTGCAATCTCATGGGTGCTTAAGCTAAGGACACAATCTTTTTGATTTCTGACAAAACTGATTCTCTCCCAAACCAGTTCCTGATGATTATGATAGAAACAGGAAGGAGAGAAACAGGAAATAGGTTACTCCAACAGGAAGGGTTTTTTAAAACACATATATCCTCCTCCCTACCCACGTACTCGAGTGTAGTGTCCATATGCATAGCTATTTGTGGCCACCTCCTAACCTATCATTTACTGGCAGTGCCTCTGACAGAAGGCTCTGAGTCTTTTGTAGCCGTGTGTGTGTGTGTGTGTGTGTGTGTGTGTGTGTGTGTGTGTGTGTGTGTGAGAGACAGAGTGAGAGACTGTGTGTGTTTGAGAGAGAGAGAGATTATGCATGTGTGTGTATGAGAGAGAGAAACAGCTTGTGTATCAGAGTGAACCCATTGATGGATTTTGTCCCCAATGTCGTGGTGCTTTTCCTGTATGGGAAAAATCTTAGTTCATCAGGCTGTGTCTGGAGAGAGGTGGCCCCTGATCCCAGAAGGCCCCTTGGCTTTGGCTCAGAGCCTTTGTTACCTGCAATGAGTGCTGTGCTGGCTCCAGCTTCTGGAGACAGGGCCTCCGTGGCCTGCAGAATTGGGGTGGTCATCAGTTCTTCTGGAAAATTAAGAAAAGTATAAAAGGAAATGGGGTGAATTCTTTTGTCTGAAAGCATATGTTTGTCCTTCAAATTTTACCACTCCACCTTCTTCCCTATTCAAAAGTTTATCATTCAATGCCTATAATAAATCAGAATAGAAAAACCTGGAGAATAGAGAAAATAAACTTCTACCCAAAGACAACTGACATTTTGACGGCTTTTTCCTTGCCTAATATAGTAGTTGAGAATATGGGCTGTAGGCCAGGCGCCATAGCTCACGCCTGTAATCCCAGCACTAGGAGGCCAAGGTGGGATCGCTTGAGTACAGGAGTTCAAGACTACCCTGGACAACATAGTGAGATCCCATCTCTACAAAAAATAAAAAAATTAGCCGGGCATGGTGGCATGCACCTGTAGTCAGCTACTTGGGAGGCTGAGGCAGGAAGATCTCTTGGGTACAGGAGTTCAAGGCTACAGTGAACTATAATAACACCACTGCACTCCAGCCTGAGTGACAGAGGGAGACCCTGTCTCTAAAAAAATAAAAAAGACTATGGGCTTTAGAGCTTGACTGACTGGGTTTCAAACCCCAACTCTTGTCCTTCAGTAGCTGTGTGACCTCAGGAAATTACTTAACCCCTCTATTTGTCAGTTATCTCATCTGGATGGAGGTAACAGTACCTACTTTATGGGGTTGTTGTCACATGTAGTAAGTAACTCAGTAAGGATAAGCCATTATGAGGAATGCATATTTTTACATACATGTACATATACTCACCAATTGATTTCCATACATATATGTATGTATATGCACACATATATTTATATTATACAGCACATACATTTTCTTCAGTGTTCTTACAAGCTCTTTGTAATCATTATTTTAAAATAATGAAATAATGCTCCTCTCCTATTAAAACCCTTTTTCTACACTTCCAGAACAGGCCCTGCAATTTGAAACATTCTGAAACAGGCCTCTCCCACCCTAAAATATATCCTGCACCCCTCTTGCTATAGGCCTATTTATCCTTCAGAGCTTGAAAGCCCCACCCTAAAGTCATTACCCAGGGTCAGAACATTATAAAATTAGTGGTCTCTAGAAGTCCTGTGTAGTGTTCACACAGAAAGTCAGGAAGCCCTTTAATTCTTTCCTAATTAGCATTTTCATGTAGAGGATTGAAAAGGTAACAGTTAAGTAGAGGTCACTGCAGGACAGAAGTGCCCTGGGGAAAACAGGCTTGCTGACCCTAGAGTGACCCACAGGAGGCATCTCGGAGTTATTCAGTAAATAGCAGCAGCACAGATTGACCCTGTCTCTGCCCAGCTCTGTGCCAGACACACTGGGGACAGAATGGTGAGCAAACAGACTTCCAGGCGCTTACTCTCCACCACACCCCACAGTTCACACAGTGGGGAACTGCAGCCAGTGCGACAAAGGAAACACCCAGGCTTAGGAGAGTATGTGGTAGAGGGGCCTGATCTAGCCTTCCAGCCAGGAGCTACCTCCCAAGGAAGGAATATCCACACAGGGAGCCAAAGCAGGAGTAGGAGTTTACTGGGTGACAGGGGTGGGGCACCTTCTAGGCAGAGAGAATGGCCTGGGTCAAAGCTCTGGGACAGGAGGACTCAAAGGCCAGTATGGCCAGCACAGTGTGAGCATGATTCCCATCTAGTCCCTGACACGTTCAGATTGCCATCCAAGCCAAGTAACATTAACTTGTCATTGGTGGTCTGGTGAGTCTGAGCCAAGAGGGGCCAATGGTGTTGAGGGGATTTTCCACACAGACCAAGGGGAGCCTGATGACGTCTTGGACCTATGACAGAGAACGCATAGGTGGGCTGCCTAGAGCACTTTCCCTTCCCAAGGCTGGGCCAAACCCTTCTCTCCTCGTGTCCACTCTTTCTTGAGGAATGGTAGTATACAAAGCCACTTGGTGGCCTTGAGCAAATGGCTATATATCTTGATTCAGTCATCCATTCTCATCTGCTACCCAGGGGGACTACATTAACCAATTTTGCAGGTCTATTGTGAAGATTAAAGGAGAGAACATGTGAGCATCATATAGTAGCTACTACACAAATATTATTTAATATGATTTTGTTATGAATGCTTAGTGATTAAAAGGAAAGGCTGCTCTGAACTCTGTCTACCCTCCCCAACAGGACCCACCTCTCCGAAAAATTGTCTTCCATAAAACCAGAGTACGTAGTGCCAAAAAGGTTGGGGGACCACTGATTTAAGATCAATTAACTAACAATTTACTTTGCACCTAGATGTGCCAAAGGCACTGTCATAGATGCTGGGAACATACCAGTGATGAAGTGAACCAAGGACCTGACTACAGAGCTGAATTTTACTGAGTATGCAGAGAACAGATAGATACATATGAGTCCCTAGAAAGAGAATCTGGGAGGGAAGATGGTTCCTAGCTGGGAAATTCTTCAAATGATCCCAATTGTAACAGCTGCCAATTACTAAGTCTCTGCTTTGTGCTAGCTGTTTATATACACCATTATCAATCTTTACAACACCAATCACTTCAAAGTAGGTGTTTTGGTTTGCTGATATGGACTCCAAGACCCAAGAGTTAAGTGACACACCTCAAATTACACATGAATTAATAGTGGATGGGCCAGGTGTGGTGGCTCATGCTTGCAATCCTAGAACTCTGGGAGGTTGAGGAGGGAGGATTGCTTGAGGTCAGGAGTTCAAGACCAGCCTGAGCAAAGGCGAGGCCCTCTCTCTACTAAAAACAGAAAACATTAGCCAGGCATGATGGTGCATGCCTATAGTTCCAGCTACTCAGGGGAGGCTGAGGCAGGAGGATCGCTTGAGCCTAGGAGTTTGAGGTTGCTGTGAGCTAGTCTGATGCCATGGCATTGTAGCCTGAGCAACAGAGCAAGACTTTGTGTCAAAAACAAAACAAAACAAAACAGTGGATGGAGCCAAGATCTGAATCCAGGAGTACCCAGTCCAAAGCCCAAGCAAGGTATTTATACTAAACATTCCTGCCATTGTTCTTTTCTTTTTCAATAGGGAAAAATAAAGAGAGGCATATAAGATAACTATGAGGCAGCACAACAAGCTTTCCAAAAAGTTCAGAGGTTTAAAAGATATGGATAAATGTAGAAGAAAAACCAGGTGGTCATAATCAAATACCGCCCGTCATGCTACAGGGAGTGCTCCATAAACGTAAACTCGCTCATAGGTGACAGGCCAACGGGAATGATGTCAGGGTAACATGGAAGGTGTGTGGATTCAAATGCAGATTCCTTAGCTTTAATGTTTAACATGATCAGAAGCAAGCTTTCTCACACTACAGAACATTCTAACAAGATAGGAAGACCTTAAGAAAAAAAAAATTCAACAGAATGCTTTCCTTGAATGCAGTTATTGGTTGGTATCCACTTACACTAAGCCCTCTGGTGAAGCAGTAAGTGCAGATAAATAAAGTATTAAGAAGGTCACCTCTGCAGGGCACAGTGGCTCACGCCTGTAATCCTAGCACTCTGGGAGGCTGAGGCAGGCGGATTGCTCGAGGTCAGGAGTTGGAAACCAGCCTGAGCAAAATAGAAATAGAAAGAAATTAATTGGCCAACTAATATATAGAGAAAAAATTAGCCGGGCATGCTGGTGCATGCCTGTAGTCCCAGCTACTCGGGAGGCTGAGCAGCGAGATACCTTGAGCCCAGAGTTTCGAGGTTGCTGTGACCTAGGCTGACCGCCACGCGCCACTCACTCTAGCCTGACAACAAAGATGATACCCTGCTCCCATCAAAAAAAAAGAAGTTCACCTCAACATTAAAACAATGGATTAATGAAGTAGCCAGACCCTATAAAAGATTTTTTTTTTTTTTTGATGAAATGGTTTCTATTAGAAGAGAAGGCTCTCTGGAACCTACATCCTAAAAAAGGAACACAAAAACCCCAGAGTACTAAAGCTGCAAAGATGAGAAATGGATATCAGAATGAGCAAGTTGAGATTTAAACACTGCAGATTTTTTAGGGTTATTATTATATTTGTTAGGGCTCTGGTTACAAAGTTCCATACAAGTTTTATTATATTTATTATGAGACAAGATCTCACTCTGAAGTAAGCCCAGGACTAAAACCACTATGCATATCACGGAACTAATATTAATAAATAGTCTATATTTATTAGATTGGCACAAATTAACTTAAATACTATTCTATAATAAATTTAAGTAAGAAGATGAGAGAGAGAGAGAGCAGGAAGGAATGTCTCATCATATCAGACTACAGGATGGTCTCCAGAACTCCATGACACAATCAAACATCCACACCACACATATGCCTCACAGAGTGAACATAATAGGATTACAGGCTTGAGGCACTGCCAACTAGCTCAAAGTATACCATAAGTTTTAGAGCTGGAATCTGCCCGAAAAACCATGTATTATTACATTTTCAAACAATAAGATTATCAAAAAAATAGAAATGAACTCTATTAAAATGCAATAGGCCAGGCCACAAAAACAAGAGATGGACTCACCAGCACTGTAATTCCATACGCACTCTGGGAGGCGAGGTTGGGCGGATCACTCCAGGATCAAGCTTCGACCAGCTGGAGCAAGAGAAAAGAACATCATGTCTCTATTAAGATAAACTAGGAAGAAAGTTAATTGGCCAAACATGAATAAAATTAATGGAAAAATATAGCGCTCATGGATGCACATGGCATGTAGGTCCAGCCTATCTGGAGGCTGAAGCCAGTAAGGATATAGCCATAGCCCAGGAATTTGAGGTTGCTGTGAGCTAGGCTGATGCCATGGCACTCACTCTAGCCTGGGCAACAAAGCAAGAATCTGTCTCAAAAAAAAAAAAGAAAAAAAAAATGCACATAAAGTTTTATAGCAGAAATGCCTATATTAGAGGCTGTCAGAGACTCAGAAGGATAGTGTCAGGAAGCTCTATGTAAGAAAGCGGAATTTCCCCCCAGGCCTTCTATCACAGAGCATGATTTTTTTTTTTTTTTTTTTTTTTTTTTTGAGACAG